AAACGCAGTGGTAGAGTTCGGCCCCCATCGGAGCAATACATATGCGAATGCTTCTTCGCCAAAACCTTGCATCTTTCGAAACAAGCGAAAGCGTCTTCGACGGCTCCCGCCCGTATATGTGTGCTGTCGTATTCGCATGCTCCCCGGTCCCCGACACCATGCAAAATTTCGTCACTGCCGGATGAGAACCAATCAAGGTCCGGCCTCTCGCTTTTTGCCCCGACCATGCTGGAGGGCCAAACGACAGAGAATCTACACCGCAGAAGCCGCACAACGATGACACTCTGACAATCTCCAAATCCAACCAGCTCACAGAGCTAAGACGTCAGATTTGATGCAGAAGGCTCCGATCTGGGGGTTATGTGATGGCTCTCAGCACGCGGCCTTGTTGGCAGCCGAGGGCCCATGGATGAGCAGTAGTTGGCAGATCTCCACTCGCCCAGTTGCTGCAGCCATGTGCAGCGCCTACAGACCAAATGTTTCCAGCGAGTGTTCGAAACCAGAGCCCGCCAGCAATCCCACGGTGCGGGTCATGAGCTGGCAGAACGCAGAAAACGCTCTGACACAAATTGGCAGATGTCGTCGAGGCCGTTGCTGTGTTCATGTCATAGAGCTCAGCAGCTTCACGCGCCCAGTGCCCACTCGGTCGCGGTACCTCGCAACCGGCAGTAGATCCATCACTCCTGCAATCACAAGCTCAACCTTGCAAGACAGTGAACCTCGCATCAAACCGTTGCACTTTTATCAGCGGCTAACCACGTCACTGAGCAGCAGTTTACAACGGTTGACTAAGCCACTTGCATCGAAACTGCCGGAGGCTGTGATGATGTCCTGCAAACGAGAAAACTTGCGAGCAGCCGCATGGAGACTGCTGGTAACAAGAGATGTCTCCTCTGAGACCAAGGGGGAGCGGAGCAAGGCCTGGATGCAGCCCAAGTGGCCTGTAGCAGCGAGAACACACGCGGTGACAAACGGATCAACAAGAACGGATGCTTCGGACCCTCACCAATCTCAATCCGACTGATACCTTCTGGATCTTCTCGGTCAGCGAACTTTGCTACTACACGAGTGCGCACCTAGGGTGTGTGCATGTGTCCGACCGTGCCAAGCGAGACCTCGAAAAGCGGCGCCGTGGAGTGCGGTGAAGCCGTCCTCAGTGACTCACAGTTTGATGATGTTTGATATGCAGCCGCCCGGGATGCGAACTATCGGCACCACGGCACGAGCAAGACTAGCCAAGTGCGTGCATCCCGGCTGCAGCACTTGCAATTCACTTGCTGATTGAGACTCAAAATATGACTGTGAAATCAATATAAGTCTTTTCGGGTTGGCTCCCATGCCTGGGATCACCGTGAGATTGCATGGCTGTGCAAAACTTACGGTCGGTCGCGGGGTTGACATTAACGTGTTCCTGCGGCGTTGTATGGGTTGTTTTAAGCTCTTTTTGGATCAGTGCTTTGAGATTTGTAGACGCCTTGTTTCAATTTGATATGTTCTGTTTAAACGGGCTGATGCACGAACAGATTTTCAGAGTCTGTATTGAAGGACTCCGAGATTCAAAATCGGCTGACTTGACAACTCTTGTACTTGTGACTTGTGTGTTTCTTGACTTGCAAACCCTTCAGACTCCGTTACTTGCGTACTAGAAAACGCTGCACCAGCTGTAGATTGCGGAACTTCTGCGACATCGAACTGTGAAACCCAAAGCTGCACACGCTCAAACAGTTGTTTTGTGCTTCTGTGCTTTCGATTCTTGCAAATGAAGTAGGCATGTACTTCTGTGTTTCCGACAATTTCACATGCTGCAACTGTTCGTATCTCTATGCTGGCGGATATAGGAAACGTTGTGGCTACAGTACCTTGCAATTCCGCGGACGGGAGTGTTTCCGAACGTTGCAAATCATCTAACTCACCCCAGGCTTCTGCACGGCGATTGGACTCCTGCGCTTTCGAAGACACGAAATGCAGGTATGTGACGACTATTCAATGGAAGTTCCTCAAAACACCTCTTGGTTAAGAAAGCTGAAATGGAAGCACGAGCCTCGGGCTGAGCATGGAGGTCTTTGCGAAGATTTTAACTCGAACGAACCCCACAATGGGGGTGTTAGATGGCGTCTGTTGCAAAATTCTATTGAGCTCAACTCCTGGGAGTAAAGTGGATTCGGCAGCTGGTCCGCCCGAACACTAAGAACCCAACTCTTGCGCTGTCCAGTCGAAACAACCTTCATAAAGCCGATCTCCGCTGCCGGCATGGCTTTTCAGATCTTTCGAGCATAATTCGCCTAGTCCTGTCGCACCGTGTTTCATCTAGGCATCACCTCTGTTCTCCGAGTCGCTTTGTCCACGGTGCCCATGAAATCTGCGAAGTCGGCGCGATTCACCAAAGCCTGACGGCTGCGAGCATCACATGTGGTGATCATGTGGTGCAATTCCATGAGATTCGTCCTGCAGCCTGCAACAACGCAGGAGTGTGCTCGACATCTCTGGTGCTGACGGCCAGCTGTATTCACAATCGATAAGCTAACTGTGCGTGCTCAATCATGCGATCCTGTGCGACCAGCCGAGGTCTGCATCATCTTTGCATCACTTCTCGACACCGGATCAGTGGATTAGCTTTCCGCAGCCTGCACCACAGCTTCAAGGCCACTGGCTGCCGCCAGATGCAGGGCCTTCAGACTTGCGAATGTAGCTGTAGGCTTTCCAATGCAGAATTAGGCCTCTGGCTGTGCTGCCATCTCTCTCCCGGACCTTTGGAACAGAGAGGTCAAAGTCCCCACATGCCAGCAAGGCCTGGCCAGCAAAAACCAAAAGACAGCGCGTATCGGCGACAATTGCATGCATCGTGCAGTCACAGGCCCCCGAGGAAGCGAGCCCAGGGGGCCAGGGCAGCATTCCCCAGCTCTCGACTGCACGCAAAGTGCAGCGCTGTCCCTTCCTTAGGCTCATCCATAACTAGAAACTAGACCTGACTATTCAGCATAAGAACATACATGTATATGAATACTCGAATCCTCAACGCCTAGCCTGTGTAACTGAAGCCTCCGAACCAGATCTTATCTGTGCCCGAACCTGTGATAAACTAGTGAGTGTGTAGTGAAGAATTAGTACTGATTATCCTTGATATTCACTATGTTTTCGCGACTGATTCCAGTCTTGATCCTTGATTTTAACACTTGTTTATTATTTCTGCTTGCTTTTACTATTGTGGCTCATGTTCAGTGTGTTGGTTGTTTTTGACTGTTTAAGTAGATTCACTGTTTGATCATTTTCTATTATTTCACTGAATCCATGTTTTCGCTGTTTTTCAAAAGCTTCTCTAAGTTCACGACGTGTTCACTATTTGTTCATTGTTTTCCTAATTATTTTCATTTTATTTCTCAATTCTTCTCACTATTTTTCATTATTTTCATAGATGTCGCTGTTGTTCACTGTTTTGCATCGTGGTGTGTGTCTGAACTCGTGCAGGCCCTGCAGGCCACGAAATCCTTCCATCCCGTGTTTGGCATGCAGATGAATCCCACCGAATCTTGTCGCTTTCCAGCCTGTGACCCTTCGGGAAATTGGTGTTCCCTGACTCTTAAGGTTGTGATTACGCACTTGGGTGTTCAGCTCGAGACGGACCCAGGAATCCCTACAGGAAACGCCGATGCTCGCACGTGTGCGGTGCGTGCGCGCATGTTGCGGGCTCGGTTGCTGCCTGAGGAAGGTGTTGATTAAATTAGACACCATCTCCTCACTTCGTACTTGCAAGGTCTGTATTCTGAAGGCGTCTTTGCTACTCTGCCATGCCTCAACCGCTTGACCTTGGTGGGGCCCCACCTTGCATGTCAGGAATTTTATGCGAAGCTGCGCCGTTACCTTGGGGCTCTTGGGTCCTCTGCACAGGCTGGCTCCTGCAATGGCTCAGCACTATGGTCTCTTCCTCAGTTTGAGCCGCTTACACAGCATCAGGCTCCCGGTGCAGGACCTCTGGGCTGGCGTCAAGGCTCCTCCTCGCAGCTACGCGAATAGTTTGCGTAGAGCGCTCAAGTACCTTGACTGGTCTTGGCCCATGTGGCATACAGTTACGGCCACAAACGGATTGCAGATTGATGTGGTTAGTCTGGCTGCACGAAATCCCCGAACGGCCGAGCACAGCCGGCACGTCCTTCGAGATGGACTCCGCGCGTGGTGGTGTCGACATCACGAACCTCTTCGACCTTGCCTGGATGGCATCGGCAATGGCATCGTCAACGTTCCCTGGCCCCTCTTGCGGCGATGCGGAAGGGCGACTTTGATGATTTCGGCTCTGATGGTTCCACCAGGGGGCCTCGATGTGCTCGTTTCTTGCCTGATGCTTTATGGTCACGTTTTCGCCGGCTCCAAGCAGGCAAGGTCATGGACTGCCGCTGGCGGCGATGTGGGCTTGACGATGAGCACACAGATTATTTCCTCTGGACTGGTGGTGCAAATGCCGAAGACCTTCTGCGCCTCAGAAGGGAATGGCAGGAGCATGGTGCTGCGGACAGTCTGCAGGTACAGCAGCTCACTGCTTATTTGCCTAGATGTCTTCGGCAGAATGTGGCATTGTTAGTCGTGTTAGCGACGGCCAGTTGCGAGCTCTGCAGTGTTTTTGTTAGGGTCCATTGGGCTCAACATCGCGACGATGAGGATGAGGACCGGCCCTCGGCGGAGGGGGCTGAGTCTTCGCTGAGGCTCTGGATGCAGGAGAGTTGTCCGTTGAGGACGACGATGCTGGAGGTGTAATCTTTTCTGCAGATTGACGATACGTCCTTCTCTGAGGTGGTGGCGGGATTTCCCTTGGAAGCATTGCAGAGGTGATGGCGGAATTTCCCTTGGAAGCAGTGCAGCGGCGTTGACGACTGTCTAGTCGCTGTTTGGATCACTAGTTTTCACTAAGTTCGGGGAATCCAAACCATCACTGATTACTAATTAATCATTTCACAAATCAGATCACTGACACATCACTAAAGAAGGGATTGCATGGTTTCCAATGCTTGCCAGGCCCTGCTGCTCAGGCACAATCACTCACTAAACAAAGATTAACTTATTCATCACCACCTCAACGGTTGTCCGATGTCCCCACCACGATGCTACTATGTATTGTGCCCACTGCGAACTAGTTTTGCTGAAAGTTGCGGCGGCATCCACCGCGTTCAGCTCGAAGCGTGGCAGTGGGGACACGACACAACTGAGCCCTGGCAACAGGTTGGACTCTGAGTCGGATAGTCGCATCTGCGCAGCGCAAAGCTATGCCAGGTACTCGGTCTAGGTCGCACTACGACACAGTTACGAGCAAGCGAGCCCTCACAACTGTTGTCGGGGAACTTACAAGACTACCAAGTACCAGCACAGGAGTTTGGTGATGAGACTTGGATGTGAGTATGACCAGTGGCTGACCCTTCTGTGGGCTGATCACGTACTTGGTCTTCATAATCATAGCTATTGCTCTCGGAACCGAGTTCGATAAGACTCTGCCTCTGCCAAGAGCTCTGGTGAGATACCAGGCAACATTGCCTCGTGGTCAGATTTGAGCAACACGAAACAAAGGTTTTCCCTAAAAAGATGCTTCATGTCATAGGCATGCATGCCTTGCTGTAAACCGACTGAATTGTCAGTGATCAGGGGGCACCGCCGCTGCCTCCGGGTCCATCCTCCGTCAACTCGGTTTCGAACATCTGCTCAGCAGCCTGACCAGTTGCCATTGCACGGCTCGCATCTCTCCCTCCATGGTTATAGTATGACCTAGCGGGCGCCGATGCCTCCTGCTTCCATTTGCAGATGCAAGCCATGTATCGGTCGGCAAGACATCTTCCACTGCTCAGCACGAGGAACAAGTGAACCAGGTCTCCCTCCCCAGACCAGACCACACCGACATGTGGTCCAGCAGTAAGCTACCATCTCAGAGTCTCCGTGCTGACAGACCTCCTTGCCCTTTAAACCCGGCCCTATATCCTTGAAGTAGCTTCCCGAAACCATTTGCAAACGTAGTTTCCAAAGGAAGCTGATCAAATGTGAAGGTCCGATGGTGCCGGCCGGAGAGCCCAATTTACGACCCCAAACACTCCCACCCCCCACCCCCCAATGTTGTAGTGTATTTTGGGGCCGGATTGGGGTTTTGTAACCCCGACAGCACCAGGGCACTCTTATGAACTGGCGGCTGGTATTCCGAATAGGCTTGGGTTTGGACGTCGCCCATCCCATTTTATAAAGTAGTGGTCCTGTGTGCAAGACTCCCTGAAACCTGCACTCTGCTCGTACATCCTAACCCCAAACCCGCCTTGCTTAATAAACATGGCCTTGGTTCACAGGTTTGCCTGGGGCTGATCTATCAGTGGGGCCATTTTTCTTCAGAGAGCTGAATTTACAGCGGATTTCGTGTGCTCAGAAAGGAAAGTTGTGATTTCTCCTTTGCTTTCGGATGGACGAACACGCCCGGCTCAAGCAGTCAAAGGGAGTCGCAGTTGGTGGGAGTAGCAACAGCGGTAGTAGTACCGGCTCCATCCCCAGTATTGAATCATTGTATTGCCCCGATGGATGAACCCACTCCGTACCAAGGCGTTTCAGGATAGCAGCAGTTGCCGCAACAGCAATCATAAACTTCAGATACTTACAGTTCGCCTGCATATATGTCGGGCGTAATGCACTCGGGTTGAAGATTTGGCGTAGACGGTCAGGGGCGTAAGGTTTGGGGGCTCCAAAAAGAGGAGTGTTACAGACCCTACATGATCCTGGGAACTGCTTCAGCTTCCCAAAGTCACAACATGAACTTCGGAGTACACAGTCAGGGGGATGTCAGGGGCTTCATGGCCGGGTTAGACACTGTAGTAGATTGTAGTAGTAGCGGTGGAAAAGCCGGCCCGGCTCACGAGGTCCGGTCGTAGCAGCGGGACGCTGTGGTGCGATGCGGCGGTGGCATGTGGTGGTGGTCGTCGGTGGTGGTCGAGGTCTTGGTAGTACGGTGGCACGTTCGCGGGCCGATTCTTTTCAGGGGGATTGGGCTTCGGGCCCTGACAGAGGTCCTTCAAAAGGAGGGGGTACGTAAGGTCTTCGGAAACACAAGACAATCCTCATAAAATGTGGGGAGGGGGGTAAGGTTTGCCAAACCACCAAATCTGCATGAAATGGGGAGGGGGGGTGGTAACACCCCACCTCATAACAAAAACCGTTTCGTAAGGGTGTTAAGACCCCCCTCGTTTCATGAGGCCTATCTGGCTGGGGATCTCAAGATCCTGCATCCTGCAACCCTTGTTTTCGCGGATGGAGTGCCCCAATTCCACTGAGCATGCAAGCTCACGTTCACTTTCTCTTGTACGCGGTCCATGACACAAGGTGGTGCCGTCAGGAGGCTAGGAAGCAAACACCAAATGCGAAATCGCAGCGGGCATGGAGACTTCGGAAGGCTTAGCTTGGTCACTGTCGAAGATTTCGAGCCCATGTTGCCCCAAAAAATATCGAATCCTAGGTTGCGGAGAATTGCGGCAGAGCCTGGCGAAGGCGACGGCAAACATCTGCCAAGAGCGCCGTGCCCAACAACCGAGGCTTGACCTGCCCACGATCGAGAGTTGAACAACTCATTGCCGAAATATGCCGAAATACAATGTTAAATATTGTCAAATCTACTGAGAAACTAAACGCCAGCACCAGTACAAGCTAGTCAAGTCGACGCGACGAATGGCACGCTAGATGTAGCATGATTGCACATCGCCGGTCAATCCTTTTCCTATCGCCTTCCCTTCAACCCGGGCCGGCGAGGATCGACACAGCAGCTGACGAGAAGGTAGGCAAGGGTCCACGTTATGCTCGCCTACGCCCAGTCACTTAACGACTTAACTTTCCTGTTGCAGCTTTCGGACTGCTGGTTCGCGCTGCCTTTGTTTCGCAGCTCATCCCTGGCCCTGAGTCTCTGGACTCTATGTCAGATTGATGCAACCGTTTATACCTGCCTCTGGCTCTGCTGCTTCTTCTGGCCTAGGCAGAAGCTTCAGTGCCAGACCCTTTTAGCATCTGCAATCTGCGAGCTATGCTTCTTTACTGCTGCATGGCTACTCTGCGGGTGCTTCCGCTTCTTGACCAGCCCCCTCTAGCTCCTCCGGGACTGGACCAATACCAGCCTCTTGGCCTGCCGCCGCAGGACCTGCACTGAGCTTTTCGGCAATGGCAAGCACACCATCGCCACGCATGATACTGCTGATACCACCGACACCATCGCACGCGCTCCACAGCATCACGAGCCTGGACTCGTCTCACGGGCCATGCGTGCCAGTGCTGCACTGACTTCTTGCATGTCGTCCATCAGCTTCTGCCGGTCGTCTGCATCCAAGCTGGCTCCCAAGGCAACGCCATCTGCTTGACCGCGCTCCATGGTGCAGAGAGGTATACTGCACTACGTTCTACTCACTTACCTTGTTTGACTGCCTGCTGCATCACGGTAGCTTGGTATTCGTGTCGCTCGTGCATGCTGAAGAAAACTCTGAAAGAAGCATGTTGATTACGTCGTAGTAGTAACATGGACGAGTAGAACAGTTTCAGACCTATGGCAGGCAGGCCGCGCATTGCTTTACCGGTTTCGTGCGTCTTTCGGCTGAAATTTACTGAAAGCATGTCAAGACTGCCTGCAGCACACACTGCGGTCTTGCTCAAACTTTGCAGTGCCACTTTTGCAAAGAAAAAACATCAATCCCGGTAATGACGCAGTGCATGGGAAACGACAGGCCCCGTCGCCTTTGGAAAACTGCTTTCCCGATAGCGTCCAGAGCGGAGCGCCTCCAATGCCGATCTTCGAACCAAGTTCCGAAAAAGGGTCCTTCAAGACACACGCGCGGGCCTTGTAGGCCCTCTCTACAGCGTAATGTCCAGGCCCCGGCTCTGCCAGCGAGACTCCTCACAAGCTGCCCGCCCGAAGCATCCGAAAACCAGCTCATCCTCAACATTTCTGCATGTTCACAGAGTACAGCGAGAGCCCTGGATGTCCTTGCTTTCTCGAGCTTGGCAGTGTCCACCTTGGGCTTAGAGACACCGGCAGGATGTGCAGTCACTCCATGTCATTCCCGTAGTCCCACTGTTACCTTCGGGTTTCAAATCCTCGTCATCCGGGCACTTTTCGTTTCTGAGGCTTCGGTGAAAGCAACAGTTTCATAACTGGGCGCAATGCTGTGGACCACGTGCGCGAGATGCAAAAGCTGCCAGTGGCCCTAACAAGCAAGGCCAATGAATCATGCTCAGCTGTGAGATGCAGGTCAACAGCACAAGCTCATGAATCTGCAAGAAGAACTAGAACTTCATGTGCTGAGATGCTGCTAAACTCTGCCTTCGCCGGCTCCTTTCTGCATGGCCCTGAAGGCAGGGATGCTCAGGCCGAGAGCGTTGTGAAGCTTCCTTAACCTTAATCAACTATCTAAGCTAGAGCTGAAGTGATTTTCGATATCTACCCTAGGGTCGAGCAGGTTTCGCTGCCGTACTGCAAAAATCTCCCAGATCACGCACAGAGTATAGAGGAGAAGCACGAAGTACGGGACGGGGTGACGCTGCTCACTGCATCCATCGGCATCCCCAATTTTGCAGTCAGACTGTCAGAGCGGCCACACCAATATTGCATACTGGCTGTGGCTTTGGAAGCTGATGCTACAAAACACTGGTCAGAAGATGACGGCAAGACAGACTTCATGCGAGCATTTTGGGTTGTCAGGGAAGGGCCAGATTCTCGCACCCATGAGTGGTCGTTTGGAGGTTGCCTAAGCGTCCGGGCGTGATCGCTTGGAAGTTGCACCTTCGCAGCTGATGGTCAAAAAGACTGCGTCGCGTCGACCGCTTCGGCAGGAGAGCTCTAGAGCTTGCATCAGAGAACGGCCTGACTGCTGCTGGGAGCGGGCATGGAACATGGGTTAGGTTGCATCTCATCTCTTTGCACGGCTACTTTGCGTCTTAGACGGGCAAGTATTGAATCTCTAACCAGGTTGTAAACGATGGGAAGTCACGTGTAGTCATGGAAAATGCGCTTGTGAATCCTACTGCACGCCGTCTTGGCATGTTTCAGCTCAAGTGGGAAGCATGCAAGTGACATCCCTTATGCCAGTCACTTGGACCGGGTGGAGGTGCCTCGGCCCTTGCCATCAAGAGCTACGCTGGCAGCGTACCCGTCAGCATACCTACTAGTAACTGGTATCAAGTTAAGTTGAGACTATTAATCAAACTAGGCTTAGCAAGCAAAGGGTGAAACTGCGACCAGTCCAGTTCTTACACCCGCACAGGAGTTCAGGTTCAGTCTGATCTTGAAACCCCGCACCGTGTCAAATCCCTGCACTTCTCACAGCCAACAGCTGCGCGATGCTGGCAAAACATGACTCATGCAGACATGTGCAGACGTGCCTCGGATTTGGCACTATTCGGACTATTCGGGTCTGGCTCATGTGTGCCACAACAGTGAAACAAAGGCATGGGGGGGGATGATCAGACTGCATCAGCGTTTTGTACCAGCTCCTGACGCCATTGTGGCTTGGGCTTGTGCCATGTGCGATTGCATGCACTGGCAACCTTCTAACTATCGTCCTCACAATGTGCAGTGGGAAAGAGCACTGCTTTGGTGCTCATCACACCTGGGAACGATCAGCAGCTGCTTGTTGCTGTGCACTACTTGAACGAGTCTTGACTGATCACTCTGCGCGCACAGTAGTACGTCATAGTACGTCCGGAAGCTATAAATAGAAGAAGATGGATGCAGAATGTCGCCGAGAGGGTCCACGCTAAGAGGAAAAATTTCTGACGGACGGCACCGGCTTCAGACCAGAAGATCCTTACTTCAAGATAGCACGATACGAAGCGTGATCGCAACATCATTGGAAACCCGCGGCCCTAAACTGCACTACCTCTGCCCAGTGGAGGCGCTCCTGCATCTAGAAACCTTACAGTAGACCATAGCGACATAGTGAAAGCTGATCCCATTTGCTGCACATACCGAGGATATAAGGACAAAATGAATGTCACGCCGCCGTGCATATTCTGGCTGAGACGAGTCGCTGTGGAATTCACCGCATCGTGAAACCTGTCAAGCTTCAAGATGAAGACTTAGCAAGTTCACAAAGAGGCAAGCACGACCCTGTTGTCTGAACTGTATTTGGGGAGCATCCGTTGTACAGAGGACAGAAGATGACAGAAGATGCCGGTCAGGGAGGTGTCAGCATCCTTGTGTTCATCATTCTTGATACCCTTGAACTGCTCCAAAACATGTGTGCCCTGTTGCAAACATTTTGACCTTAATTCAGGCTGTAAGGCTTCTATCGGGCCCGACGCACAACCAGCAGATCACTTTCTGCGGGCCATGCTGCATTGATGACTCGACGGCACGATCAAAGAGCTGGCCTGTCCAGCAACGTGCACGCACTTGTTTCATGTTTCAGGTCGGCGTGGCTGCCGTGTTAAAGTTGAGTGATGTGAGGCTTTCGTGACAGTGCCCATACTAGCGCTGCCTGCCGCGCTGCTCCGCATGCATATCACGGCCTTGGCAACAACAACAACAACAGACTGAGCGTGGACCATCGTGTGAGTTTGACTTCCCCTTGGGTGCAGACTCTGGTAGCCACTCGAGTCAGTGAGACCTTGGGTCAGGATTGTGGATGGGGCATGCCGCATATGCACACCCGAATGCCTTGTTTTCCTCAGGCAGTCGTGGCCTGGCGTTCGAGACGGTGTAGCCTTGTTAAGATCAAAGATCACCAGACGAGACTCTCTGTTAAAGCCACGTGTTCCAATGGCATTTGGAACGCATCAAGGCTTCGCAGCTTGTGCTTAGAGGCTCAGCCTTTTTGTCTCGGGGGTGAGCTCAGGGCGCCTCTGCCAGATCCTTTTGGAGAATAGCCACGTAGCATCACGTAGCCTCGTTGAAATTCGCCTCGCACCCACTCGAAGCGGTCAGGTTCTCACAAAAATCCACTGCTTCTCCTCCTCTTTCTTCTGAACCGATTCGTGGTAAAGTCGTGTTCTCCATTGGATTTCATTTTCCACTCCTCCAATTTCCCTCCCTCTCCACCCATCCAACCCCGCTTGACCACTAACCCCCTCCCCGCTCCGCTCCCCGGGCCGAGGCGGACGCTGCGAAGCATTACAGTTAAGCCTGATTCAGGTTTCTCTGCTCAGTGACATTGCGTTGACGTGTGCCATGGAACAGCTGGCGGTGTGTGGCGTTCAGCTTTCCTTATCCTTGCAAGGTTTCGATGGTATTTCAAACACCAGCACAACCACGGATGGCTGCGCTCGTGTTTGTGGCCAACCCGTCACACTGTCCGCTTGACGTGACGACCCTGTGCGATGGGCTGCATGTCCTGACGACGGTGCGACCCTGCACCGGAATAGTGTGCCAGCAGGTACCTCTCGCGTGTCTATATATGCCCCTGTGCTTAGCAAACATGATTGAAGGTCAACTGACAAAACTTTAGGCAACACTGCATATGGCTTGCAGGCAACAGCGACAGATTCGTTGCCAATGCATGATGCATCCGCTTGTGCACTGGGTGCGAGGCCGAATGCTTGACCTCAGGGAGTGCGAAAGGCACCCGATGCATCCGATGTATCTGACGACAAATTCATGCAGCAACGAGAACTCGTCTGTACTGTTCGTCTGTGTTTGTTTGCGTTTATATGTGTACTTGTATGCCATGCAACTACACACAACTGCAATCAACTGCGCATTCCGTGGAGCTTTCGTGGGGTTCCAGTAGGGTCCCCGTGGAGGTCTCCGTGGGGGTTTTCGTGGGGTTCCCGTGGGGTTTTTGTGGGGTTCCGTGTGGTTTGGCGGGGTTTCCGTGGGGTTCCCGTGTGCCCAACTTGTTTGTTGTTTTTGGCTGTTTTTCGAACCAGCCTGCGAAACTAGCACCCTTGTGTGCGTGTGTGGGTTCGTTGAGTTTGTTTTCGGAACCAGCGTGTCCAACTAGCACCCTGGTCATCGGGTTTCAACCCGACCTCCCTTCCCGGATATGCACGGTCGTACGAACATGTACAAACGTACCCAAGTACACAATTGCACACACAAACAAACAAACATTTTGACTTTGACGCTTTGCGTAGTCAGAGCTACAGTGAACATAACCCGGCAGGTGCGTGGCCATGTCACAACGGTTGAATACTACGGTCATGGAAAGTTACCCTGTGGCGGATTGATGTGGAAATCGAATCGCCACTTCCGGGCTGAACGTTGCATAAACAGTTCTTGTAGGTGAGCGCGTGGGTCCGGCTCACAGACATGACGTACACGGTAGGAAATGCCTTTGGTAGGGCGACTGTAGCCCAAGATGTACAGACTTCTGCAATTGAGAACGAAATCCCCTGGGAGTAGATCAACCTTCGCACGTTTCCTGAACCATTTCAAGGCAGCTTGAAAAGTGCGCAGATCTTCAGCAAACGTGAATGCCTCTAGCGGCAAATCTTGTGTGCATCCGTCCCTCATCGCATATGCAGGTCGCTTGCCATCTCGGAACCGGTTGACATTCACAGGAGGGCGCGTGCCCGTGGTAAAGATAAAATTAACGAGAAGTTCGGTCATTGATGTATTCGCATGCAAATGGCTGTGAGCCCACTGCAAGCCGTTGGCACAAACAAACAAACAAACAAGCAAACAAACAAACAAACGTACATACATACATACATACATACATACATACATACATACATACATACATACATACATACATATATGCTTTTACTTGTCTATGAATATGTTATTCATGTACTTAACAATATTTTGTATTTTGTGCATAAATCAACGAACACATATGTATACATGTATGCATGCATGCATGTATGGATGGATGGATGGATTTATAATGTGTGTGCATGTGTGCGTGTGTGTACGCGTGTGTGGGTGTGCGTGCGTGCTTGCTTTCTTTGCGTCTCATGAGCTTACGGAGCTGAAGGCGCAGGCTCAACGCACCAGGTGTCTGCCGACACGACATGCGCGGCAAGAGTCGTCGTGACAGTCTTTACTCTTGCCATCTGCCCTGTCATCATGCAGCACTCACACAGCAACTGCCAATCTTTTCGTACCTCTTCAGAGCCGCTCGAAAATCCCAGGGGGCGTAGTAGCTGCAGGAGATCAAAGGAGTCGTTTGGCGCTCCTTTGCCGGAGCTGTGGTGGACTCTTCCTCACAATGTTTCACAATCCATGACTTGACACTGCAGTTTGTCACTGAAAGTCCAGGAGCAAGTTTGGGGAAACAGTAGGCCTGGCCCTGGATAGACGGTGTAGGGGAATTGGCGTGACTCTGAGTTCTTGCTTGCATTGAACTGACTCACGGATATTTCACAGATCGGAGCCTACAAATTCCGGTCGACTCGGGACCCATTCCTCACTCGGGCCAAGCACTCGCCGCTATGCGGTCGAAGCTTTCATTACCGGCAATGCCACCCCTTGGCCGACCCAAGCTACTCATATGAACCCTAAGGCTACATCTATCCAGAGTGATCCGACAGCAGAGTAGTGAAGGCATCCCATCCACCCTGCAATTACGGTGAACTTTCAGTCAGGAGGGTGCATCGCGACAAGGTAGAACGAGGAAAAGCACCCAGCCATGATGAGGATTATGAAGTCAGGAGGGCGTACCAGAGCTTGGACAATTAAGCTGGACTGAGAACCGAAAATGCCGGCACCAGTCTTGTCTAAAGCCTTCGTTATGCCTTGTCAATCAATGACACTGTTTGCAGGCAACCCAGTCCATGATGACGCGGACTCTGCCAGTCGAAAGTGGCCCATCGGGTCTGGGACTCTCCTGCTTACGTCGTTTCCACTGCTCATGTCATGGTTGCTGTTGTCGCCTTAGCACCCCAGGGGAGATGTTTGCAGGATTCCCAGCACCAAGCGCCACATAAACGATTGTTTCATGAGTCTCTTCAAGCACCAGCCATAGCAGCAGCAGCAGCAGCAGCAGCAGCAGCAGCAGCAGCAGCACCAGAAGGAGTAGTAGTAGTAGTAGTA